ACACCTGGAGTACAGACTCTTATTGGAGACTCTGTATATATACACACACACACCTGGAGTACAGACTCTTATTGGAGACTCTGTATATACCAGTATATACACACACCTGGAGTACAATCCCCTACCATCCCTACCACAGAATGAGCGTCTGGGTGACTAGCGCACATCTCTTTTTCGTTTTAAATTTTTATTTCTGAAGAAATATAAGTACGTGTTGCGTTTTAAATCAGCGTGCAACGGAAACAACCAGAGGGAAACCATGCTGAAATTGGGAAATCGCCACACAGCGAGTTTACCATCAGAACTGGCGTTTTCACACAATGCGGTACCGCTGACAGCTCATTCGCCCTCCCCGTGTCCCCGTCTCTCTCACACACAAACAGTTAATCCCACCAGTGAAGGGCTGTGCTGAATGTATAGCCAAGCTATTGTCTATAGAATACGGACTGCTGACCCATCCTAACTGCTCCAGTCCGCTGCGCAATGGAGTGGACAAGGCCTTTACATCCGAGTCTATACTATTTGCTGACACGAACAGGCTAACAACCGCGTTGAAATAATACATGGAAAATTGGCTAGGTCACGCGGGTTGTGCGCTCACACATACTCAGAAAAAGGATACGCACACACAGAGGGAGTACTACCTGGACAATATAAAACCAGGCCGCCAGAAACACGACAGCTCTACGAAGTCAAACGGGTTTGCTCTGGGAACGCGATCCGACACATCCCGTAGGTAGGACTATTTATTTTATTGAGTAGAGGTGTTAAACTGACGTTTGCTTATAATCCCTAAGTAGACTCGCGCTAATATCCCGGCATTATATTTATTGTGGATTTGTGCCGACATTTAAAAAGCTGTTTTGCACAGAGAACCACTGAGAATTTAGCCTACACTGAGCGAAATTATGAGTAGATTTTTTGCAAAGTTTTTGCCGTACATCTCGGCAAGCAATTCGGGTGAAAGAGACCGCACGTGTTTTGTTGAAAACTGTTTATGTGAAGCTCACTCAGCACAAGTTAGCGTTATTATGTTGCTCTACTCGAGGAATAGACCATCAACATCAGGAGGGCACCAGTGGAAACTACAAGGAAGTGCTTTTAAAACTGAGAAAAGGAGGCGCTTCTTTACACAAAGGGTGGTGGGAGTGTGTAACAGGCTGTCCAGCCGTGTTGTTGAAATCAGTACCCTGGCTTCTGTCTAGAAACAGCTGGATGAGATCCCCGAGTCAGGACAGGAGGCGTTTCTTTACACAAAGGGTGGTGGGAGTGTGGAACAACCTACGCAGCCATGTTGTGGAAGCCGATTCCCCGACTTTTTCAAGAAACTGTTGGATAAGATCCTCGGATCGATTAGTTACTAGCAACCAAGCTAGATGGTCTCTTGTTTATGACTTTTTTTATGTTCTCGTGTTGCTCATCTTACCTTTCAGGATAAAGATGTCTACAGGGTTAACTTGATCAATTCAGCACCACAAAACAAACGACCCAGATGTCCCGAATGGTTTTCACTGACGTTTATGTTAAAATCATTTTAAAATGACAGCGGAATCATTACTCTCTTGTGCTCTAAAAAAGCCTCTGGGGATACAATTTGGAGTTTATGTTATGGGATATATCAATACCCAACTAGCGCTCACCGCTTAAAACTCTGGAAGCTGAACGGTGTTGGTGGGAGGGACTTAAATGTGTTAATTATGCTCCGGCTGGATGTTATGTGTGAGTTAGAGAAGGAGCCATAATACGAAAACCCACCCGAGTTTGTGCGATTTTCCCACGTGAGAGGGCGAGTCGCGATGAATGTCGGGATGTGCGAATACGATTATACTGTATATCCCAGCCTCGCAAAGCGTCGGCGAGGAAGGCGGTAGCTTGCGTTTTCTTTAACGAGTGGTCAAGAGGACCTGATGTCGCTTCAAGTGTAGAAGGGGACTCGCCTCATCCCCTCAGGAAGTGCAGGCACCTGTATCAGTCACTCACTGGGCGGTGTTCCTGTCTCGCTTCTGACAGTCCACGACTGGTGCGCTCAAGCCCAGAGCGCTTCAACGATCAACGATTGTTTTTTTTCTTTACATTGCTGATTTATAATATTGCATAACAAAACGTCTTCAACATGTATCGTTTTCAAAAGAAATGAGGTAGTTGTCACATTTCGATGTACACATACACAGCACAAGAGAGTCTGCCAGACACACAGTGAAACGGCCAACGAGATAAAGTAAGTCTGATTGACACACAGTCACATCGGACAATCAGATACAGATAGTGAATCACACAGACAATCATATTCAGTCAGATATACAGTGACTCACATTGACAATCAGATACAGTCAGAAACACAGTGAGTCACATTGACGATCATATACAGTCAGATACACAGTAAATCAGTTTCACTGAGAGTCAGATACTGTTAGACTGATACGCAGTGAGTCAATTCCACTGACAATCAGATAGTCAGATCAGACACACAGTGAGCCCCAGTGAAAATGAGATACAAGCAGATAGATACAGAGTCAACAGTCACACTGACAATTGGATACAGTCAGATAAAGACATTCAAGAAACATAGTTCTCAGTTCACCTGTGCATCTCTCTCGCCTCTCTCTCACCCTCTTTCTCTCTCCAACAGCTAAAGATGCAGAAAACTACAATGACACAGCAGGGAATGGGCTTTGCTCCTTTCTGGAAGGTACAACTCACTGTACATACGCACTGACCTAGTATAGACACACATTCTGACACCCTGTATGTGTAGACTCATATTGAACTACTGTACCCCATACACAACTGCATAGAAAAACATAATTTATTTACTGTATTAACCCCTCTCTCTCAGTGCAGTGTTAATGTCCTGTAGTGTCCAGTCAGTGTGTCTGGACTGTATTAACACCTCTCTCTCTCCTGGTCAGGTGACAGTGTGGGAGCAGGAGTATTTCCAGGGCAAATGTCAGGAGTTCACAGCTGAGTGCTGCAACATCCAGGACTGTGGATTCGACAACATCCGCTCCATCCGTGTGGAGAGTGGAGCGTGAGTCCACTGGTGCTCTACTGTGTCCTTGTCTCTGTGTCTGTTTCACTATCTGTGGGCTCATTTGTATATGCAGCTTCATTAGGCTGGAGAACTGCAGTCTGAAAACAGTCACTGGAAACTATAAGAAAAATGGCGATTTAACAACTTAGTCTAAAACTTAGGTCACTTACTTTAAGATCGGAGGTGCAATGAAACTCCCAAGGCCTGAAGCCTTCGAGGTTTATAGGTGTCCATTCCTGGACAGTGTCCTTCACTGTACATCTCTGACAGTCAGTAACTCTGGTTAATTTGTCTCTCATCTCCCGCACGAGCTCAGGAGTAAAAGAATCTTTTTCATTTTCTGCCTCCCCCCCCATCAACTCTTTGTCTTTGTCCCTCATTACAGTGTCTGTACTGTATTAACCCCTCTCTCTCAGTGCAGTGTTAATGTCCTGTAGTGTCCAGTCAGTGTGTCTGGA